GGCTCACAAGGCTATGTTCCGAGGCATCTACCTCCCGATCCTGGTCCTGCCAGATTGAACCCAGCCAATGTCCCTGTGGCTCCCCGTTTTCCACTTTCTTCAGTGCCATGCGCTTTAATTCCTTCAGTTTCAATATGAAAAATAAGGGGGTGCCCCATGTTGGGCGCCATTTGCTGCAGAAAAAATATGGACTCAGTAAGAGATCAATATGATCAGACCAAAGCCATTTATTGCAAAGCCTTAACTCCTTATATACTATTGCTTACATGCACTTACAGTGATTCGGCATATTATGATTGGATACATGTCTTGAAGACCCTTAGTGACTAACATATAATTGGTTAAGCACAGGTGTGAGAACTTGACCTCAAAAGCTTGCCAACAGTCCACAGTTCTCATAACTCGGTGAATTCCAGCTTCTTCTTACCTTGCTTGCTTAAGCTTCCTCAGGCCTCTCATGGCTTTGCTGTATCTTTTGGGATTATTCAGTGTTCATGTACAAAATATCCATTCTCCTGTGAGAACACTGTCTCCACAGGTTATGTATTAAAAAAGCCATGCATCTTGGTTTCCCAGTATCTAGTTGCTAACTGGATGGCTTTTAAGACTAAGCAAAAAGGCATATGAAATCTTTCTAACTGTATTTCTAGGAGAGCATAGCCCATGCACCATATAGTCAAAAAGAGGAAAGGTGGGAAGTTCTTCTGGAAGTATAGAAAAAAAGTTTTCTTTTGTTTCTAAAGCATCATAGAATGGTTAGGGTTGAAAAGGACTTTAAGATCATCTAGTTCCAACCCCCCTGCCATGGGCAGGGACACCTCACACTAACCCATGTTACTCAAGGCTCTGTCCAAACTGGACTTGAACACCGCCAGGGATGGAGCATTCACAACTTCTCTGGGCATCCCATTCCAGTGTCTCACCACCCTTACAGTAAAGAGCTTCCTCCTTATATCCAATCTAAACTTCCCCTGTTTAACTTTGAACCTGTTATTCCTTGTCCTATCACTACAGTCCCTAAGGAAGAGTTCCTCCCCAGCATCCCTATAGCCCCCCTTCAGATACTGGAAGGCTGCTATGAGGTCTCCACACAGCCTTCTGTTCTCCAGGCTTAACAGCCCCAACTTTTTCAGCTTATCTTCATACAGGAGGTGCTCAAGTCCCCTGATAGTCCTCGTGGCCCTCCTCTGGACTTGTTCCAACAGTTCCATGTCCTTTTTATGTTGAGGACACCAGAACTGTACACAATACTCCAAGTGAGCTCTCACAAGAGCAGAGTAGAGGGGCAGGATCACCTCCTTCAACCTGCTAGTCACGCTCCTTTTAATGCAGCCCAGGATACAATTGGCTTTCTGGGCTGTGAGCGCACACTGCTGCCTCAGATCCTCTCCTACAGTGGGCCTAAGGTCTTAATTCTCACAGTCCCTGCATCTGCCTTCCAAGACTTGGGTGGTGTGGTCAGAGCCTTTGCCAGTGAAGACTGAGGCAAAGATGTCATTAAGAACCTCAGCCTTCTCCAAATCCAGGGTAGCCAGTTCTCTGGATAGCTTCCAGAGGGGGCCTACGTTGTCCATAGTCTGTCTTTTATTTGCAATATAACTATAGAATCCCTTCCTGTTATCTTTCACATCTGTAGCCAAGTTTAATTCCAACAGGGCCTTAGCTTTCCTAACCTGGTCCCTAGCTTCCCTGAGAACTTCCCTGTATTCTTCCCCGGCCGCCTGTTCTTGCTTCCACCTTTTATAAGCCTCTTTTTTCCTTCAGCATTTCCTCAGCAGCTCCTTATCCATCCATGGAGGTCTCCTGGCCCTCCTGCTGCACTTCCTTCTTGATGGGACGCAACACTCCAGAGCTTCTACCCGGTGATCCTTGAATATCAACCAACAGTCTTGGGCCTCCCTGCCCTCTAGGGCTCTATCCCATGGAACCTTACTAAGCAGGTTCCTGAAGAGGCCAAAATCTGCTCTCTTGAAGTCCAGGGCAGTGAGCTTGCTGCACGCAAATCATTGCTATAGCCTGATTTCTGTCCTTGCTCAGGACTGTTGCAGTTGATTTTTTCTCCCAGTTTGTCACCCACGAACTTGGATTTTGCTAGGTGACATTATAGAAAACCTGTGTTTATGCTCATAAGTTAAGTTTTCAGCTTTAATCACAGACCACTAAACATTCTGTTGTTGACCCTGTGTGGAAGAAAGTAATATGTCATTCAAATGATATGGCATTCAAATGATAACCTATGGATTTTTGTTTAAGCCTTTAAACAAATACAATTTTCTCCATAACAAATTAGTACAAAAAGGAAAATGCAATAGGTATGGTTTTACCTTCAGTCTTGTACATTTCTGTGCAGGATTTTAACTCTTCTAACTGACTATGTGATTTACATTTTAAGTGTCTTTCTTTAATTTATGCCACTCCACTGTCAGAAAGACAAGTTAATTACATCAGTGCTGGTAAACACATAATGACCTTCTTATAAAGCTAAACGTTTCTGAATTAGATACATGGTATCCTCTCAGTATTTTGTGCCTTAAAGCTCAGTTGTACAGCTCTTCAGAGAGCTGTTCCAAAGGACTTCCAGGCTGCCTATTTTTGGTAAATACCCAATACGGCTTCTTTACAATGTTTTTCTCAGGCTGTAAAAACCAGCCTTATCTAGAAAAGCTGCTCTTCTGATTTAAACACCCATTTGCCGTCTGCTAGCCTGCATGCTAGCTCCGGACTCCCCAGGTTCTCACTCATCCTTTTCACAGCTCCCAAGCATGTTGTGCACAACCTGCAGAACTTTGGCAAATAAAACACCACATGAGCAGCTATTGTATTCCCAGTTTAACATGTTTTAAGGAAGATTTACTGCCACATGGCTACATGTTGATCAGTTAAACACCCTTGCCTGTGGGAACTACAAAGCGTTGCAACAGTATAGTCCAGTTTGCCCTGATGTTGTCAATACAGATACATGTCATCAAAACTTAAAGGAAGTAACCATCCAGGAATTGCAAAATATAGAAGGTGGTTTTATTTAATGTTGTTTTTTATTGTACCACTCAAAGTTTTAGTAGTACTGAACAGCTGCAATATTATATTTGCACAAAGCAATTGTTAAGTCACATAGAATAGATTATAACTGTGAGAGGTCCTGTGGTTACAGCAAGCTACGAGTGCCTGACAGAAACTGATGGGAGCATAGTTCTTGTAAGTGAACATCTAAATTCTGTTTAAAAAATAAAATAAGAAGTCTTGTTTTTTAACAGCTGTTTACTTATACATTGTGTTGTCATAATAAAAATACTTGAAAGAGGATCCTACCTGCAGTCACACCATTTTCAGTGTCATAGTGAAAGTGAAGTTCATTGAATGAAAGATCTTTTGAAGCCAAATAAATTGTAAGTCTCATGATGCTCGAGGGAGTTGGTTACTACGTAGCTCATCTGAACCTTTGGGCGGCAATAATGTGCATTTTTAACAAGCTGTCCTTGCACTCATGCAAGAGAACACCATTGCCATTGACTGACCTTTAGATAACAAGGACCTCCTCCATGGTTACATATGGGTGCATGACATAAGGTGATTTTAAAGCTTTCCTAAGTAAACTAAGTGTCCCTGCCCATGGCAGGGGGGTTGGAACTAGATGATCTTAAGGTCCTTTCCAACCCTAACTATTCTATGATTCTATAATCTAGACTAAACTTAGTTTCAGAGTTGGGTTTTATGTACATTATACATACTTCAGAGCATTCACAATATTATTACATTTTCTTTCAAACCCACTCATGCTAGTGCTGCAGCAAAAGGTGAAGCTCAGACTGTTGAACACCCTATAAACATTAAGAGCAATTGACACTGCCTGTAGATTCATTTTGTTATGTTTCTACCAGACAGGAATGATTAGGAGGAAGCTAAATCCTGCTATGGAAAATGAAGGAAGCATTAAGGGTGGTGAAGTATATCAGTATTTTTCTGTGAAGCTACCCAATGGGGAACAGAAGAGTGAAAGCCTAGGTTCCAAGGCTGCTAAGATTTTAAACAAACAGAAGCAGCTAACTAGCAAAACAAAATTTCTTATTTTTACTAGGAATGGTTCTTACTCAACAAAAGGATCCCGTTAAATGCCTGTTTATAGAAGGTCCAAACAAATTCATATCAGGGGGTTCCTTTTGTTACTGTAATACGTATTCTTGCTGAATAAGAGATACTGCATGCCTACTGCCACTCAGTCATGGAAAACAACAAACAGGAATGACTGTCTCTTCTATTAAATAATTTATATTTTGTTTGTCATCTAATATTTATCTAAAATTTGTCATTACTATTTAATGTGATAATTTTCATCTCCATTTAAAATATTCCCTTTTCTTAAATTTACCATTGCCCATTTAGTAAAATGGACATTTATATCCCTGCATTTAGAATCATAGAAAGATAGAATAGTTAGGGTTGGATCTTTGTCATCTTCCAAAGTCAGTTGGACTGGAATCAATTACCCAGGCTTTAGTGTATCACTCCAAAATTGTCATCTGGTGATAACTTAAGTGCTGCTTTATCATATTCACCATGGTTTCCATCACTTTTAAGTAGTAATGGTTGACTGATCTCTGCTGAATTTGACACACACACAGACGTACAGCCTTATGTGACCTGCTATTAGTCAATCCTAATTCTTCACTGGAGAAAAGCTGACTAATAACTAAGGAAGATTTTCTTAATGCAGTTTCAGAAACAGAAGTATTCAGAAAACTGGGCAATTAAATAGGTATCTGTGTTAAAAATAAGTTAATCCAAGTTCTGAGGAAGTTCCGTAAGTAGCTTGAAAGAGCCAATAGTTACTGGAGTTATTTGTTGTGCCTGCAACACCCTTGAACAGGAGGAGTTCCATGGGAAAACCTATACTAGACTGCTCTATGTTGTGCCTTTCTCTTTAAAAGGGATACACTGATGAGTTCTGCCTTTTGGAAAGCATAAACCCAGTCACTTTTTATTTTTTTTTCCTTTATTTCTAGTGAATGAGATCATAGGAAGAGATATGTCACAGATCCCAGTGTTACATGGACCAACAGCAGCCAGCCAGTCTGCACATACATGTCCTGGATCTCTGGAGACAAGAATATCTGATGGAATCCAGTAACAGATAAGCTTACACCTAAATATTTCTTCGTCCTCTTCCTCTTTAGACTTACTGTGCTTCCAACACTGTGGCCTTTATGAAATGGAACAGTGGATCCTTGTAAAGCCCTTTCAGTGGGTTACATTTTTGATGTAACAGAGCATTTTAGTTATAGTTCCTCAAATACTGTAAAGAGACTTCTTAAAATGGACACAGAATCTACAACAGATATTTTAACTGTTTTAAAGTTAAACAAGCTTTGCTTTCTGCATTTAAATAGAATACTTTTCTATTGTAAGTGCTTCAGATGTGTGGCGATATTAGTTTGGTCTTATAATATTCACAGTACTAAATGTGGAAAAAGATTTAATACACATCTTCAGTGTGCTCCTTTCCCTTAGAGGTAGCATAGTTTGTAACTGATGATTTGTAACACCTTTTGGTCATTTTGGAAAGCCTTTAAAGCTTCTATTGTTTATTTTTTTTAATACAATCTTCCAGTGGCAAATCATACCTGCCATCTGAAGCCAATGCCACGGAAGCCATTGTGTATATAAATACTTTAGTGTTTTCTTTCTTAGATTCATAGGAAGCAAAGCCAAATGTAGACTTGCACTTGTTTATAAACTGAAAATGTTACTTGATAGGCTGCAAAAAGACCATTCCATCATGAAAGTGTTGGGAAAGGACATTCCAAAATTTAACTTATATAACTTTGTGGATAATCTTCCTGTTCTTTATTAGCACTGGCTCCTTCTTGAAATAGCTTTTTAGAAAGTTACACTTGTAATCAAATTTGAGCAGTAGGATTTTAGATTAAAGAACAGCAACATCAAAGTCATGATAGTTACAGGAGAAATTTCAATATTTGCTGAGGATCTAGGTGTTCCTGTTATCCCTGCGGAATACAGTTTTGAAATCACAGATTCAGTGGCATTCAAGTTTTCCATGCAATAAATTGTGTAATCACGTGTATCTTTCATATGCTGTATGCCTGACCATGCCACTTGGAAGTTCTGAGGAGATGACAATTACACTTCCTTAAATTTAAGATGCTTATAAACATCAGTTTTCTAAAAAGTAATTTACTGTGAATTAGGGATTAGGTAGTGTAATTTTCCCTTATTTAATTGTGAATGTGGGAAGCAGAAACTACCAAAGAAACACACGAGATTAATAGCAGCAGTAAACTTTGTGCTGTGCTCAAAGGATGCATTTCCCTTACCTGCATAATCTGATACATTTGAGACAATCTATTTAGATAGCTATTAAAAATCTCAGGCCTCTATGATTAGAAACCTAGGAGAGGATCTGAAACTGCCTACACAGGCCACAAATGCTTCCCTCCACCAGAAGACACTGTTGTTTACAAAGCTTTCTGACATGGAACACACAGGGTACAGCAATCATGGCAAAGTAAGATCAGAAATACATGGAACCTCAAAACACTGAGGGTGTTAGTTCTAGCTCCCCATTTGGGTGAGCCATGATGCTCTAATGAAAATTAAGAGCAAATACACTCTAAAATCTCCAAATATAGAAAGTGTGTTTGCATTGAAACTAGTTAAGACAATTGTGGACATTTCAGCTGTTTAACATATGTGGAGCACATGTGTCTTTCTGTAGAAAATTTACCAGAGATTCTTAAAGTGACAGTAAAATGGTCTTAAAGTGGATACCAAAACTGAATTCTAATACTTGTGAGAGCAAACAGATTCTACTGCTGTTGCATTTTGGCAGATGGTCACAGGGAAAAATTCCCATTGAGCCTTTTGCAAGCACAACATTACCCCTACATTTAAGCCATCACCCAAGCAATACCATAGTAGTTACAAGTAGTTGTAACTGCATTTTTGTAATAATCTGAATCATGAACTTTTTAGAAGAGCATACATTAAGCGGCTGAAGTTATAACTCTTTATCATGTACTTCCTTTTAAGAGTGCAGCCTAAGGCTACTATCTTGATGTTTCATAGTTATTTCTTATAACTTAATGCAAGGCCACTATGTGTGTGCTGGGAATCTTCAGCATCCTTTTTGTGAATGTATTGTTCAGCGGTGCAAATTTTCAAATTTGCAGGAAAAAAAATAGGCAGGGTTGTAGTCTGAAAAGTGTAATACTGCAATTGTCCCTCAGCAATGGTGCTTTACTCTGTCCTCTACTCATTTACATTAAAGAACCTAGAAAAGGATTCAGCTTTTCATACTATATGGGATTTATGCTCCCTAATCCTACTGGCATAGACTCTCCTTGTCAGTTCTCCAAGTAGCTTGAATTCACACTGTACCTAAAATATAGGAGCCCAAACAATCTGGAGTTGCTATGCACTAAATTTTCTGATGCCTTAAATACCTTGATGCCTGTAGACATAGAGATGCTTTCCTATTTAAAAATGAAATTAAAAAAAAAAAAAGCTTTTGATACTAAAGCAGTTTTGTATTTATTTGCCTTGTAAAACCTTCAATATAGGGGTCATTACTTTAGCTTGTATGATAACAAGAGTAAAGAAAGACTGTTAATCTTACATAATTTTAGTGATATAAAAAGCACACAATCTCTGAAGGACTTAGGGGTGTTGGTTGATGAGAAACTTAACATGAGCTGGCTTTGGTGTGCGCTCGCAGCCCAGAAACCAACCACAAGTTGGTTGGACCTAGGCTGCATCAAAAGAAGCATGACCAGCAGGTCGAAGGAAGCAATCCTGCCCCTCTACTCTGCTCTCATGGGACTCCACTTGGAGTACTGTGTGCAGTTCTGGTGTCCTGAACATGAGGACATGATGGTGCTGGAGCAAGTCCAGAGGAGGGCCACAGGGATGATAAGGGGGCTGGAGCACCAGCCATATGAAGACAGGCTGAGAAAGTTGGGGCTGTTCAGCCTGGAGAAGAGAAGGCTGTGTGGAGACCTCATAGCAGCCTTCCAGTATCTGAAGGGGGCCTACAAGGATGCTGGGGAGGGACTCTTCATCAGGGACCATAGCGACAGAACAAGGGGTAATGGGCACAAACTAAAACAAGGGAAATTCAGGTTAGATAAAAGGAAGAAGTTCTTCACTGTGAGGGTGGTGAGGCACTGGAAAGGACTGCCCAAAGAAGTGGTAAATGCTCCATCCCTGGCAGTGATCAGGTCCAGGTTGGACAAAGCCTTGTGCAACATGGTTTAGTGTGAGGTGTCCTTGCCCATGGCAGGAGGGTAGGGTGCTCTTAAAGTCTTTTCCAACCCTAACCATTCTATGATTCCATGCAAATTGAATTACACCACAGAACTCAATAACTGTCTATTTTGTTGACATCACTTCCTTACCCTTAAGTCCTTTCTTCTCCCCAAGTACTTTTCGAAAACTTTTTAATAATTTAGATTATCCTGAAGGAAAGCCTTAACGATGAGGTAGCTTTTCTATACGGAGGGTCAAAGGTCAATGTTAAACCAAAAAAATTAAGGGGTAGTATACTCATCCAGGGGGATAGGGGGGTGATTTCTGAGATCACCACAAACTAGCAATCTGAATTTCTGTAGTAAAACTTACGTGTTATCAGGGTAATTACCATCCTTTTTAAACCAAAGAATGAATATAACATCATGGTTTTGTTCCAATACAAAGAAAGCTTTGAAATTATATTTTTGATACTCATAAAGGATTTCATTCCTTGAGGTTTGGAAACTGTTCAAATTAAAGTTTTATATTTAAAAATGTGGGACAATAAAGATTAAGTTCTAGATGTTTACAGAGCCTTGCATTGTAATTTCATGTACATTTTGTATTTAAAACATTTTTGTAAGTTATGAATGCAGTGCTACTTGCAGAAATAAAGGGAAAACTTGCATTTAGGCTGTTAAATCAGAACATTCAAATAAATGAAAAGAATGCAAATGCATTGTCCTTTATTTAAAATGCAGACCCAGAGGGTGGGAAGAAACTCCCTATTTGTGATGCAACAGTAAACAGCTATGTGCAGTTGTGCTATAGGAAGTGAGGGACGTTTAACATTCCCCCTAGAAGAGTGGTGATTTTGAAGCAATTTGAGAAGAGTTTAGGGCTCAACTTTGAGCCAGCACCAGTGAGCCCATACACACATAATGACCAGCAGTGCTGACAGCATTTCAGCTTGCACAGTAACTAGTGATCTACTTGAAAGTATCTTAAGGTCTTTTCCAACCCTAACTATTCTATGATTATATGATTAGACAATCACAGAACTATTCTGAGAAAGTACTCCAGAAATTGCTATTCAAGAGAGCACATCATAAACAGTAATTGCCATTCCTGAGGGATATTATCATAGGGAAGATGCAGTTAAACTGTTCCAGAAATAAATGTAAAATTCCTATTATTCTACGCAATTTGCCAAATCTCTACTGAACAAGCAATGCTGAGAGAAATGTCTTTGGGAATGGCACAGTAGTCAGGCTTTATAATCTCTCTCATCTCGGTGATATTAGCGATACTGAAATATTTTTATCTCCCTTGAGCTCTGGTTACAGGGTCTTTTACTTCTCTGTAGAATCCCTGTTAATGTACACAAGTGTTCCAAACTCAGCACTGAAGCAGAAGCTCTGGCCTTTGGTTGGCAATACACGCCTGCCCAAGCACAAAAAGGAGCAGCAATCACACAGTGATCTCTTACACGTTGCCCAGGGAGAACACGGGCCAGTTTGGGGTTAGCTTCTTTATCTTAGAATGCACATCCCAACTAATTACCTTCACCAATGTTTTTTATCTATAAATACAGCAGAAAAGGGTGGCTACAGTGCCAGTAAATGAACGCAAAGTAATTATATCTGTTTTACTAAAAATAGCACAAGCTGTTCCACGTTTTCTAGTATGATTACCCAGTATATAATTAGCACATACCAGCACTAATAATAATCCATGGATTGACAGCATATACTTACTGTCAATTCAGGTCTTCTATCAGACACAAATAGGTTGAAGGCTGATTCACCAAGATCGATGGGACAGGAGAGATGATAGGAAACGTAATCACACCAAGGCATTTATAAAGCAGAGGGTGGCTAACCCTGAGCACTAACACTGACACCTGGATCTGCTGTACTTTATTCCAGTCATTGTGAAAACATCATTTCTACCTCGCAGAACACTGTTTTGTAACTTCAGGTAATGGGAGAGGAGGAATGTCAGTTCCTTTAAAAGAGTAACCATAAGTTCCTGTTCATTTAGGACTCAAACCTAAAGGAAGTGCTGGCAGAAATCAAGGCCTTTTACTTCTCTTACTGCAAATAGTATTTCCTTACAACTTTCCACCACATTACTTGTGCTACATACTCACAGTGCCACTGCATACTTTAAATCCAGCACTTGCTCCACTGCAGGCAATTAGGGAGGATTGAGATCTTTTCCAAATGGTCCCCCCACCTTTTTTATTTGGCCTTTGGCTTTAATTAATTTACAAGAAGAATATTCAGGAACTAGCCACTGCTGTAGTGATTAAAGTATTAAGGTATGTGAAAGGCCATCTTACTCAGTCCAGCATAAAAAAGAAAGTATTTTAACATATTTCAATTACTGTGCAGTTTTGCATACAGACTTCTCTGGTAATGGAAGTTTATTCTGTCTACTAAAAAGGATAATGTTTATCCGTCATTCTTGGCACACAAAAAGCATTGTAGCTTGTCAAGATTTTCTAAGAAACAAATTATTTTGCATTAACCTACTGTTACCTTTGCTACCAGTAACATGTTACATGTAAAAGAGAACAGACCTGTCCTGGGTTCAGCAGTAGCAGTCATGTTTCTCCTCCTTGGTAGCTGGTGCAGTGCAGTGTTTTGACTTTCAGCTCGGGAACAGAGCTGATAGAGATGTTTTGGTTTGGCCAAGGACTTTGTGAGCCTCATGCTCTGCCAGGGAGGAGGGGAAGCTGGGAGGAAGCAGAGACAGGACACCTGACCCAAACTGACCAAAGAGGTATTCCATACCACAGCACGTCATGCCCAGGATGTAACGGGGAGTTAGCCGGAAGGGCTGGGAGACTGCAGGGTTGGAGGAGGTATCGGTCGGAGCTTGGTCGGGCTTGGGGGGCGAGTTATCGGTCAGCTGGTGCTGAGGTGTTGTATTCTCTTCCCTTGTTATTTCCTTTATCATTATTATCATTGGTGGTAGCAGTAGTGATTTGTGTTATACCTTAGTTACTAAACTGTTCTTATCTCAACCCGTGGGAGTTGCATTCTTTTGATTCTCCTCTCTGTCCCTCCGAGAGCAGGGGGAGGGCAAGAAAGGGGGGGAAGTGAGCGAACGAATTACCTGACTGGGTTTAAACCACGACAAGACCTTAAGATTAAGAAGCAATAGAAACAGGATACTTGTTTTGCAAAAACTTCTATGTGCCATGAATTTTGTTTTAGAAAAGATTCATCTACTAGAGAAGTCAAGCTATATAAGTTATCTGAGCTGTTTCTTCAAATTTAGAGTGGAGGTTTTGTTGGTTTATTATTCTTGACATTAATTATCTTTAAATATTGTCTGGAAACAGAAGAACAAAGGAAGAAACCAGCCTTATTTGTTACTTACTGTCATTGTGACGCTGGTAAGAGCTGGAAGAGTGTTTGTAGTCTGTGCTTGCTCCCATTAAAAGGGCTCTCCCTCCCTACCTACCAAAAAGCCATTCTATGACATTTCTCACTTGACACCTTTATTCATAAAAATACCGAGTTAAACGTTGGCACAATTGATGTATGTTGCAAAGAAATGCCTACAGTCATAGACAGAAGAAAACGCCAGTAGCTCATGTCTAAATGAGCCGAACAGAAGGCACCTCAAGCTGCCCATGCATAGCTTAGCCCATTAGCAAGCTCTGGTAACGTAGTCCTTCCTGGAGTCTTAAAGCACTGCAGAAAAAGTTAAACCTTCCATAGAGAAACACTCAGAATGTCTCTCAGAACATGATAGTAGCTTGAGACAGAACGCCTTCCACACCTAAGCAGGGGAAGCTCAGTGTCCAGGAGCCTCAACTCAGAGCAGCAAGAGGCACCCAGGGAGCCTCAAGTCCTTGACAGGACTTGCCCAGGAGCTGGAAGCTCAGCATCCAGGAGCCTCAACTCAGAGCAGCAAGAGCCACCGAGGGAGCCTCAAGTCCTCGACAGGACTTGCCCAGGAGCCGGCAGCTCAGCTGATGCGAGCAGCTGACTCACAGGGGACAGAGCCAGGAGGAGCAGCACCAGCCCTGACTGGTTAAAAACTTGCCCCAGAGAGCATGAGCGAACACAAATGCGGCAAACAGGGCGGGTCGAGAAAACTTGTACTGCAGTTCGCGCAGGCCGGTGAGTGGGATGGTGAGCACTCGCCCTATGACCAGGACCCAGTCTGGGAGCTCTAGTTTGGCTACCCTGGCAGTGGCCAGCGTAGGCACCCAGACAGAGCTGATGAGAGGGGAGGCTGCAGTGTAGAGCTTAGAGTGTAGTGAGAGCCTGCACTGGTCTCTTGATGCAAGGGTGCACACTAGGCAGGGCTGCACTTGGTGCTCCCTGGTGGAGGTCCTTCCGCAGCAGGTGGCTGAGCTGCGGGATGCTGTCAATAAGCTAAAAGATGTCAGAGAAGCTGAGAGGAAGCAGGACTGCTTGCTCCAGGTCCAAACTGTGCAGGGGCCTCAAGTGTAGACTGTAGCTCATGGAGGAAAGAAGGAAGCTGTTAACCCAAAAAGCTGGGAAATAGTAACAAAAAAAAAAAAAAAAAAAGGAGGAAGAGTGTAAGCAGCGAGGAGAAGCAGACAGGCCAACCCAATATGGGTGATAAGCAACTTCTAATTTATTCGTGACGCAGTTCACACATATATAGGAGTGGTATTCAGCCACTCCTTCTTGGGATAACAGTATTGGTTAGCCCCCACAGCTTCCTCCACATTCTCCTCCCAGGTCCGGTCTCTGGCTACCTGTGGGGGCCACCCCCTGCCTTGCTTGCACAGTCCTCCAGAACTCTATGGTTCTGCTCTTAGAGTCATTCTGCAACAGAAGAGAACAATTAAAAGCAAGGGGCTTCCTCCTAAATCTTTTGTCCCCACCCAGAGCTGCTTTGCTGTCCTTCAGGGGGCTAATGAAGAAACACACTTGCACCATGAACAAGCGGCTGATGCACTGCTAAAGAAGATCACTACTGGTGCTGCCAGGAAAAAGCTGCTGGCCATAGTGGTAGGGGACTCTACTTTGAAAGGAACAGAAGCACTCTGGCCTGACCCAGTCTCAAGGGAGGTGTGTTGCCTACCAGGGGCACAGATCAGGGATGTTGCAGAGAGGCTGCCTGGTCTAGTAAGTTCCACTGACTAATACCCACTTATAGTGATCCATGTGGGTGCTAGGGATACAGATAGCAGTAACCTGGAGAACATTAAGAAGGACTACAGAGCCCTGGGAGAGGTGGTTAGGGGGTCTGGAGCTCAGATTGTCTTTTCGTCAATTCTCCAGGATAGAGGGGAGGA